TGTTGTTTGGCAGGTCCGGGCTGGGGATTCGAACCCGCCACCTTAGGTGTACGTGGCTGGCGCCTTAGCCGGTTGAGCTATAGGCGCCGAGCCCAAAGTAGGTAAATTAAGGTGTTCCTCTGGTGAGACTCCATGGAAGAGAATAAATAGTCTTGGGTTGTATTTATTTTCTTTCTTTTTTTATTTTTATTTTATTTTATTTTCATTTTTCTGGTCTGGTCTGGGTTTGAACCTGCCACCTCCGGCATTTGGGGCCGTTGCCCTACTCCTTTGAGTATAACCCTGCCCCTGGGTTATATTTCTTGAAGTTGTATGTTCCTCCTTAAATACAAAAAGACTTTCAATTTTGTAAGAAAATTCTTATCATTCATCTCTGTTATTTAGGTAGCTCGGAAAGCAAATGCCTGCCCTTTTCCTAGCAAGGTATAAATGCCTCTGATGATATAGGCCTGAGGGGGCGGCTGCCCCATGTACTGAGGGAGGCGGGTTTGAACCCGGCCCAGGCCAAACTGCCACAAAAAATATAGCCGGGCGTTGTGGCGGGCGCCTGTAGTCCCAGCTACTCCGGAGGCTGAGGCAAGAGAATCTCCTAAGCCCAGGAGTTGGAGGTTGCTGTGAGCTGTGACACCACAGCACTCTAACAAGGGTTAATAAGTGAAACTCTATCTCAGAAAAAAAAAAAAAGAGGTAAATCAGGCCAGGTGTGTTGGCTCAAGGCTGTAATCCTAGCACTCTGGGAAGCCAAAGCAGGAGGATTACTTGAGGTCACCAGCCTGAACAAGAGTGAGACCCTGTCTCTACAAAAAATAGAGAAGCTAGCTAGGCATGGTGGTGGGCACCTCTAGTCCCAGCTACTGGGTGGGAGGCTGAGGCAGGAAGATCCCTTGAGCTCAAGAGTCTGAGGTGGTTGTGAGCTATGATGACTCCACGGCACTCTATGCAGGGTGACAGAGTGAGATCCTGTCTCAACAACAACAACAACAAAGTAGGTAAATTTTTTTTTTTTTTTTT